GGGGCACATAGATCGTCTGGGAGCGAGTGAACAGTGCGGAGGGGCAGTGAACAGGCGGAGGGGCACATAGATCGTCTGGGAGCGAGTGAACAGTGCGGAGGGGCACATAGATCGTCTGGGAGCGAGTGAACAGTGCGGAGGGGCACATAGATCGTCTGGGAGCGAGTGAACAGTGCGGAGGGGCACATAGATCGTCTGGGAGCGAGTGAACAGTGCGGAGGGGCACATAGATCGTCTGGGAGCGAGTGAACAGTGTGGAAGCGCAAATTGATCATGACGGTGTGAGGAGAATGGCGCTGCTAGGAGTTATCACGGGATCTGGCTGACGCTCAACACTCAAGGAAAGAGCGAGACGGATATACAATCAGACATATGCTCGTGCCATCGAAATTTAAACTCTTCGTCTGCTGCTGAAGATTAGGACAGAGCGCTTATAGGGGTGTCCTGAGTGCTGTCACAGAGAAGGAAGGGTATAGTTACAGTTTCATAGGGATCGGAGCATAAAGTTACAGTATCACAGGGATGGGTGGGGACGTATAGTAACATTGTCACAGAGATGTGAGCGTATAGTTACAGTGTCACAAAGACGGGAGCGTATAGTTACATTATCACAAGGACGGGATGGTGTGATTACAATATCACAGAGACGGGAGCGTATAGTTACACTGTCATACAGACTGGAGTGAATACTTGCATTGTCACAGAGACAGAGGTAATAGTTACAGTATCACAGAGACAGGAGCGTATAGTTTAATTATCACCGAGACAGGAGCTACAGTTACACTGTTACAGAGAGGGGAGGGTATAGTTACATTGTCACAAATACGGAAGCCTATAGTTATTATGTCACATAGATGGGAGGGCATATTTACAGTATGAAACAGGAGCGTATAGTTCCATTGTCACGAGGAGGGGTGCGTAAAGTTACAGTGTCACAGAGATTAGAGCGTATAGTTACTGTGTCACAGAGACGGTAGGGTTTAGCTGCATTGTCACAGAGATTGGAACTTATAGTTAGCCTATTGTGACAGAGACAGGAGCGTAGTTACAATGTCACATAGTAAGGAAGATGTAGTTACAGTGTCCCTGAGACGGAAGCGTGTAGCTACAGTGTCCCAGAGAGAAAGAGAAAGGTCACAGAAAGGGCAAAAAGGGGAGTGGGGTGTTACACAACAGCTGTTTGAGGGGAAAGTAGGAATACGATTTTCCTTTGATCGTTTGGATGGGGCTGGTTGAAAAAAAAAAAAGGGGGGGGGGGGGGGAGGTAAACTGAACATAATAAACAAGACCCACAAAACTGATTTTAGAAACAAACTTTATTTCAAAATGATCGTTTTCCTTGGAGAAGTTCCAATTTAACCACAGCGCGTGAACATGTACAAATATGACTTGTAAACACTTGAATGATTATACGACCTGGTGTACACATAAATGGTCACATAGACCAGGTGTACACATAAATGGTCACATAGACCTGGTGTACACATAAATGGTCACACAGACCTGGTGTACACATAAATGGTTACATAGACCTGGTGTATACATAAATGGTTACATAGACCTGGTGTATACATAAATGGTCGCATAGATCTCGTGTACACACGAATGATTACATAGACTTGACGTACAGATGAATGTTTACACGTACCTGGTGTACACGTAAGTGATTACAATGAGCTGGTGTAAACATGCATGATTACATAGTCCTGCTGTACACGTGAGTGATTATATGGACCTGGTGTACACATGAATGATTACATAGTCTTGGTGTACACGTGAGTGATTATATGGACCTGGTGTACACATGAATGATTACATAGTCCTGCTGTACACGTGAGTGATTATATGGACCTAGTGTACACATGAATGATTACATAGTCTTGGTGTACACGTGAGTGATTATATGGACCTAGTGTACACATGAATAATTTACATGGTCTTGGTGTACACGTGAGTGATTATATGGACCTAGTGTACACATGAATGATTACATAGTCTTGGTGTATATATTAATGATTACACAGACCTGATATACATATAAATGATTACATAGACCTGGTGTACATATGAATGATTACATAGACCTGGTGTACATATGAATAATTACATAGACCTGGTGTACATATGAATGATTACATAGACCTGGTGTACATATGAATGATTACATAGACCTGGTGTACATATGAATGATTACATAGACCTGGTGTACATATGAATGATTACATAGACCTGGTGTACATATGAATGATTACATAGACCTGGTGTACATATGAATGATTACATAGACCTGGTGTACATATGAATGATTACATAGACCTGGTGTACATATGAATGATTACATAGACCTGGTGTACATATGAATGATTACATAGACCTGGTGTACATATGAATGATTACATAGACCTGGTGTACATATGAATGATTAGAAATGTGCACCGAGGAATCGAGTCCGCAATGATTTGTACAAGAAAATAAATGTTACAAGCTGACTAGAAAATTATACTATGTACACATAGGGGTGTGTACACATACTCAGCCACTCACATATACACTCACCAACCTACACAAAGGAGCTTACTCACATTAATAGACGAGGGCATACCCATACACCCACCCACTCACAGGTTCGTACACACAGTTACCCACAGACAAGTGTCTTTCTCTGTCTCTCTCCTTCTATCTCTCTCTGTCTCTCTCTATCTGTCTCTGCCTCTCTCTGTCTCTCTCCGTCGTTCTATGTCTCTATCTGTCTTTCTCTGTCTCTCTTTTGATCACTGTTGGTCTCTCTCTCTGTCTCTCTCCTTGTCTCTCTCTGTCTCTCTCTGTCTCTCTCTTTTGATCACTGTTGGTCTCTCTCTGTCTCTCTCTGTCTCTTTCTGTCTCTTTCTGTCTCTCTCTGTCTCTCTCTGTCTCTCTTTTGATCTCTGTTGGTCTCTCTCTGTCTCTCTCTGTCTTTGTCTCTCTATCTCTCTCCGTCGTTCTATGTCTCCATCTGTCTTTCTCTGTCTTTTTCTCTGTCTCTCTTGTGATCTCTGTTGGTCTCTCTCTGTCTCTCTCTGTCTCTCTTTTGATCTCTGTTGGTTTCTCTCTGTCTCTCTCTGTCTCTCTCTCTCTGTCTCTGTCTCTCTCTGTCTCTCTCTGTCTCTCTCTGTCTCTCTTTTGATCTCTGTTGGTCTCTCTCTGTCTCTCTCTGTCTCTATCTGTCTCTCTTTTGATCTCTGTTGGTTTCTCTCTGTCTCTCTCTCTCTGACTTTCTCTGTCTCTCTATCTCTCTCCGTCGTTCTCTGTCTCTATCTGTCTTTCTCTGTCTATTTCTCTGTCTCTCTCTCTGACTTTCTCTGTCTCTCTATCTCTCTCCGTCGTTCTCTGTCTCTATCTGTCTTTCTCTGTCTATTTCTCTGTCTCTCTCTCTGTCTCTCTCTGTCTCTACCTCTGTCTCTTTCTCTGTCTCTCTCTGTAGCTGTATCTCTGTCTCTCTCTCTGTCTCTCTGTCTCCCCATGTCTCTGCCTCTCTCTCTTTATCTGTCTCTTTCTGTCTCTGTCTCTGTCTCTCTCTGTCTCTCATACTCTGTATCTCTCTCACTCTCTCTGTCTCTCTCTGTCTCTCTGTCTTTCTGTCTGTCTGTCTGTCTGTCTGTCTGTCTGTCTCTCTCTCTCTCTCTCTTTCGCTAATTTAAAGGTAACACTGAAAATAAAGAAATAAAGCTCATTTTTCTCTCTCTCCATCTCTTTTGATCTGTGTATGTCTTCTGCTCTTCTCTCTCTCCTACGCACACGGAAATACGCTAAAGAGCACGTGCGTATGTCACAGATAGGCCAGTGTGCCACCCCTCCCCCTCCTCCACCCCTCCCCCTCCTCCACCCCTCCCCCTCCACCACCCCTTCCCCTCCTCCACCCCTCCCCCTCCTCCACCCCTCCCCCTCCTCCACCCCTCCCCCCTCCTCCACCCTACCCCCTCCTCCACCCCTCCCCCTCCTCCACCCCTCCCCCTCCTCCACCCCTCCCCCTCCTCCACCCTCCCCCTCCTCCACCCTTCCCCCTTTACGTGCTATTTCCATGCTGACCATGTGTTGTTATTACCTACAGAATTTGTTCAGCAAATCTCCCATCTGAATAAGCGGCCCTGACCTCCAGTCTGCCGTGCTTATGTCTGCACTGGTTGCGTTTCTGTGCCGGGTGTGTCCGTATTTCTGTGCTGGTTACATGACTGTGCCGGGTGTGTCCGTATTTCTGTGCTGGTTACGTGACTGTGCCGGGTGCGTCCGTGTTGTCTGTGCTGGTTACATGACTGTGCCGGGTGCGTCCGTGTTGTTTGTGCTGGTTACATGACTATGCCGGGTGTGTCCTTGTTTCTGTACTGGTTACATGACTGTGCCGGGTGCGTCCGTGTTGTTTGTGCTGGTTACATGACTGTGCCGGGTGTGTCTGTGTTTCTGTGCTGGTTACATGACTGTGTTGGGTGCGCCATCTGTGACTATAAAACAAAAGGCCAGCTGCTCGTTGTGAAGATGCACAGATCAATTGGTGGAGGCAGAAGTGCCACACTGTGAGGACCGTGTGCAGATGAACCATGTCGAGCTGCCGCTACCCCCTCCCTTCCTCCCCTGCTTTGTCAAATACCCAGTGTTGTGATAAGTGATGTCCGTACTGTTACTGTATGGAGCTGAGCTTGGCAGAAGTGAACGAAGAGCACCAACGAAAGAATAAAGTTCGTTCAAGTTTCCTTCGTGTTAAACTATCACCACAGCTAGCTTCAACTTTACTTCTATAAGGGTTTTATTATTTTTTTTTTTTTTAAATTTCCCATAATTTGTCTTTATCACCTATAATTGTTTCCTCATAGTTTGTCATCCATATCCAATAGTTTGTCTACTGTTTCTCCGTTGCCTGATCCCAGGAACCAGATTTCTCTGGCAGACATTTTTCTAGGCGGAAGAATTGTGGCACTGGGTGGAGACAAGTCGACGCTGCGTTGCAACGAGACATGTGGTTGGCGGAACTAGACCTGTGTTTGGTAAGGTAAAATTTGATTGGATAACGGACCGTTGTGTGAGTTGTTCATGCGTAAAGCGGTTAGGCTCTTGTTGTACCAGTCGTCTTCCGCCGGCTCCTGCAAGTAAATATCAACATTATAGTTCAGTCTATCTCCACACATTATAGCTCAGTATATCTCCACACATTATAGCTCAGTATATCTCCACACGTTATAGCTCAGTCTATCTCTACACATTATAGCCCAGTCTTTTCCACACATTATAGCTCAGTCTGTCTCCACACATTATAGCTCAGTTTAACCCTACACATTATAGCCCAGTCTATCTCCACACATTATAGCTCAGTATATCTCCACACATTATAGCTCAGTCTATCTCCACACATTATAGCTCAGTCTATCTCTACACATTATAGCTCAGTATATCTCCACACATTATAGCTCAGTATATCTCCACACGTTATAGCTCAGTCTATCTCCACACATTATAGCCCAGTCTTTTCCACACATTATAGCTCAGTCTGTCTCCACACATTATAGCTCAGTTTAACCCCACACATTATAGCCCAGTCTATCTCCACACATTATAGCTCAGTATATCTCCACACATTATAGCTCAGTATATCTCCACACATTATAGCTCAGTCTATCTCCACACATTATAGCTCAGTCTATTTCCACAAATTATAGCTCAGTCTGACAACAAACATTATAGCCCAGTCTATTTCCACACATTATAGCTCAGTCTGTCTCCACACATTATAGCTCAGTCTATCTCCAGACATTCTAGCTCAGTCTATCTCCACACATTATAGCTCAGTCTATTTCCACAAATTATAGCTCAGTCTGACAACAAACATTATAGCCCAGTCTATTTCCACACATTATAGCTCAGTCTGTCTCCAGACATTCTAGCTCAGTCTATCTCCACACATTATAGCTCAGTCTATTTCCACAAATTATAGCTCAGTCTGACAACAAACATTATAGCCCAGTCTATTTCCACACATTATAGCTCAGTCTGTCTCCACACATTATAGCTCAGTCTATCTCCAGACATTCTAGCTCAGTCTATCTCCACACATTATAGCACAGTCTATCTCCACACATTCTAGCTCAGTCTATCTCCACACATTATAGCTCAGTCTATCTCCACACATTATAGCCCAGTCTATTTCCACACATTATAGCTTAGTCTGTCTCCACACATTATAGCTCAGTCTATCTCCACACATTATAGCCCAGTCTATCTCCACACATTATAGCTCAGTCTATCTCCACACATTATAGCTCAGTCTATCTCCACACATTATAGCCCAGTCTATCTTCACACATTATAGCTCAGTCAAACTTCAGACATTGTAACTCAGTCTATCTCTACACATTATAGCTCAGTCTATCTCCACACATTATAGCTCAGTCTATTCACACACATTATAGCTCAGTCTATTCCCACACATTTTAGCTCAATCTAACAACAAACATTATAGCCCAGTATATCTTCACACATTATAGCTCAGTCTATCTCCACACATTATAGCTCAGTCTATCTTTACACATTATAGCCCAGTCTATCTCCACACATTATAGCTCAGTCTATCTCCACACATTCTAGCTCAGTCTAACAACAAACATTATAGCCCAGTCTGTCTCCACACATTATAGCTCAGATAGCTCAGTCTATCTCCCCACATTATAGCTCAGTCTATCTTCACACATTATACCTCAGTTAGCTCAGTCTATCTCTACACATTATAGTTCAGTCTAACAACAAACATTACAGCTCAGTCTATCTCCACACATTATAGCTCAGTCTATCTCTACACATTATAGCTCAGTCTATCTCCACACATTATAGCTCAGTCTATCTCCACACATTATAGCTCAGTAAGCTCAGTCTGTCTCCACACAATATAGCTCAGTCAGCTCAGTTTATCTTCACACATTATAGCTCAGTCTATCTCTACACATTATAGCTCAGTCTATCTCCACACATTATAGCTCAGTCTATCTCCACACATTATAGCTCAGTCTAACAACAAACATTACAGCCCAGTCTATCTCCACACATTATAGCTCAGTCTATCTCCACACATTATAGCTCTATCTCCACACATTATAGCTCAGTTAGCTTAGTCTATTTCCACACATTATAGCTCAGTCTATCTCCAGACATTATAGCTCAGTTTATCTCCACACATTATAGCTCAGTCTATCTCCACACATTCTAGCCCAGTCTATCTCCACACATTCTAGCTCAGTCTATCTCCACATATTCTAACCCAGTCTATCTCCACACATTATAGCTCAGTCTAACAACAAACATTATAGCCCAGTCTGTCTCCACACAATATAGCTCAGTCAGCTCAGTTTATCTTCACACATTATAGCTCAGTCTATCTCTACACATTATAGCTCAGTCTATCTCCACACATTATAGCTCAGTCTATCTCCACACATTATAGCTCAGTAAGCTCAGTCTATCTCTACACATTATTGCTCAGTCTAACAACAAACATTACAGCCCAGTCTATCTCCACACATTATAGCTCAGTCTATCCCCACACATTATAGCTCAGTCTATCTCCACACATTATAGCTCAGTCTATCTCCACACATTATAGCTCAGTCTATCTCCACACATTATAGCTCAGTCTATCTCTACACATTATTGCTCAGTCTAACAACAAACATTACAGCCCAGTCTATCTCCACACATTATAGCTCAGTCTATCTCCACACATTATAGCTCAGTCTATCTCCACACATTATAGCTCAGTCTAACAACAAACATTACAGCCCAGTCTATCTCCACACATTATAGCTTAGTCTATTTCCACACATTATAGCCCAGTCTATCTCCACACATTATAGCTCAGTTAGCTCAGTCTATCTCCACACATTATAGCTCAGTCTATCTCCACACATTATAGCTCAGTCTAACAACAAACATAGCCCAGTCTATCTCCACACATTATAGCCGACATCACCCGTGTGTCACCGGGTACCTCACGGGAAGCAACGAATAGTGGCACTGCACCCTACCAGGCATGTCGTAAGAGGCGATTAAGGGTAGGGTTGGACTTGAGGTTGGCTACCTCGTCCTGTGAAAACCAAAGCCTCAAAAACCAACCAACCATGGATAAGTCAAAAAGAGAAGCAAATAAAACCAAGCCAACCGAGATAAGGAGAGGCTCTTCAAGTAGAAAACGTATGACACGGTGTGGAGAAAGCCACAAGGGGTCCCGATCGCCGACATACCTCCTCTCAGCTTGGAAAATCTCCATAATTGGCACCTGGAATGTTAGAACTCTCTACGATATAGGGAGAACAATGGAAGTAGCAAAGGAAATGAAACATTATTGAATTAGTATTTTAGAGTTATGTGAAACTAGATGGAGTGGGGAGGGGAAAATTATTTTAAATTCAGTAAAAACTATTTTGTTCTCAGGACAGATAGAGGAAAATTCGCCCCACAGTGAAGGAGTGGCCCTGATGCTAACGAAAGAAGCAGACAGGGCGCTAATAGAATAGGAAGCCGTGAGTCCCAGAAAAATAAGAGCGTTATTTAGAACTACGAAACAGAAGGTGAACATGTCCGTAATACAGTGTTATGCACCAACAAATGATAAAGATGCATCTGTTAAAGAAGAATTTCTCATGCAGCTTCAAAATATTATTAATAATGAAAGAAAGGGCAATTTAAACATTGGACTGGGTGACCTGAATGCTAAAATAGGATCAGATAACACAGGCTATGTAGAGATTATGGGAAGACATGGTCTAGGAGTAATAAATAAAAATGGAAAATTGTTCACAAATTTGTGTGCAGGAAACCAGTATGTTATTGGTGGAGGTATTTTTCCCCATTAAAGAATACATTATCACCAGACCATAATACAACCAATCAGATTGATCACCTTTGTATTAACAAAAAGTTTAGATCATCCCTTTATGATGTTAAGGTTTTCAGAGGTGCCGAGTTATTTACTGGTCATTTTCTGTTGGTAAGTAAAATCAAGGTGAAACTTGAAAGATACATAACATCTTATAATCATAGAAACCAGTGAAATGTAGGTTATCTCAGGGATAAAGAAGTTAAGGGAAAATATTTAGTAAGTCCCTAATAAGTACCAGGTGTTGCAGCAGTTAGCTGAAGATGTCAGCACAGAAGTCTGCTGGGATCAGATCAAGGGAATCTGGAATTAATCTTGTGTAGAAGTTCTTGGCAAGAAAGAACGGAAACATAAAGCGTGGATTACACTAGAAACCTTTAAATTGATTAAAGAGAGCAAAAATAAAAAGGCAGACTTGAACAATAGCAAACCTAGAGCTGCTAAAGCTAGAGCTCAGAATAAATACACAGAAGCCAATAAGGGCAGATAAAGCGAAATATTTTAAAGATCTAGCACAAGAAACGGAGACAGCAGCAGCAAAAGGAAACCTCAGAGAACTTTACAGTAACACAAGAAAATAGTAGATAAATATAGTCAGCCAACTGGATTAATCAAAATAGTCAAAGAAAGGTACTTACTAACACTAAAGATCAAATGGATAAATGGGCTGAATATTTTGAAATACTTCTAAATGGACGAAGCCCAGAGATTCCTTTAGATATCTCTTCATCGTGTAAGAAGGTCCTTTGCAGAACGTCGCTATCATTACGGTCTGCCTGGAAGAAACTCGGTCTCTCACCAGCTCTCCCGCTTCACGCACTTTCATACTCAAGGAGTCACTTGTATCCTGTGCCCATCTTCGTGTTGGTCGGCCCCTGCCCCTCCTTCCTGGTACCATGTTTTCTGCTATAATTTTTTTCCACTCCGTTGTGGCGCTTGATATGACCAAAATATTTCAGCTTCCAAGCCAGGATGCTGTTTATTAGCCAATCTTCCTTGATGTTCAGATCTTTCAAGATGTCAATATTTCTCCTCTTTTTCGTCCAAGATATTCTGAGAATCTTTCGATAGCATTTCAACTCAAAAGCCCCTATTCTCTTTCTTGAGGACTAGGAGATAGTCCACGACTCACATCCGTATGTTGCTACAGGAAAGATGCATCATCATCATCATCATCAGGTGCCTTGCCGACTGGCGTGGGCGATCATACCTCTCCATAATCCGCGATCTCCTGCAGCATGTATCAGTTCGTGTGCCGACACACCATGGAAAGATGCATGCTCTCAAAATTCAATTTTGATCTCCTTGCTAGTGCTTAACCATAGACATTTAAGGATGTTTAATCTTTGCATTGCTATGGTCATTCTTCTTTTAATATCTGTCAAGCAGTCTCCATTGCTATTTATTATAGAGCCCAGATATTCAAAGTTTGTGACATTTTTAATTTCTTCACCACTTATTGTTATTATTCGGATGACAGCCAGTTTTATCTGTGGGTCAAAATGGACGATAGGCAGGGGCACTGTTTGGAGCCGAGGCAAATTTTTTGCTTCTGCCTGATGGTGGCCGTTGCATTTTTGCTCCATTTGTAGACTGGATATAGTTTCGTCGCCCAGCTTCTGAGCTGAATGCATGGCGTGACACTGTGTGCGACAGAGATGTCTTTTGTCGCCTCTACTGTTTCTGCTGACAATAGACTGGATTATGAAGACAGTATCTGCTAACACCGAGAATGGAATTCAGTGGACCCCTACAAAACAGACTGATAATCTGGACTTTGCTGACATTTATCATCTGTCCCACTCATGGAATCAGATGCAAGGTAAATTAAATATTCTTGATGCCAGATCACAGCAGCTAGGTCTGAAAATCAATTAGGGAAAGACAAAAATAGTAAGAATAAATCACGCAAATAGTAATGTTGTTTCTCATAACAGCACCCCACTCAAAGACTTATAAACCTACTTGGGCAGTAATGTAGATATAGATAAGGCAACTGATAGAGATATTACAATTAGAATACAAAAAGCAAGAGAGGGCTTTCATAGCACTAGGGAAATTGTGGAGGTCAAAAGAAATAAAAAGAAATACCAAACTTGAAATTGTTATTTCTCATGTCAAATCAGTACTTTTGTATAGAGGGGAAACATTGAGAACAACTAAGACAATTACTAATAAATTATAGACATTCATTAACTGGTGCCTGCGCAGAATAGAGGGAATTAAATAGTATGATAGAATCACTAATGTAGAGCTTTGGGAAAGAACAAAGCAAGCTTCAGTGGACCAAGATGGGAGAGAACTAAGCAAGCTCTAGTGGACCAAGATGGGAGAGAACTAAGCAAGCTTCAGTGGACCAAGATGGGAGAGAACTAAGCAAGCTCTAGTGGACCAAGATGGGAGAGAACTAAGCAAGCTCCAGTGGACCAAGATGGGAGAGAACTAAGCAAGCTCTAGTGGACCAAGATGGAGAGGAACTAAGCAAGCTCTAGTGGACCAAGATGGGAGAGAACTAAGCAAGCTCCAGTGGACCAAGATGGGAGAGAACTAAGCAAGCTCCAGTGGACCAAGATGGGAGAGAACTAAGCAAGCTCTAGTGGACCAAGATGGGAGAGAACTAAGCAAGCTCTAGTGGACCAAGATGGGAGAGAACTAAGCAAGCTCCAGTGGACCAAGATGGGAGAGAACTAAGCAAGCTCTAGTGGACCAAGATGGGAGAGAACTAAGCAAGCTCCAGTGGACCAAGAGGTGAGGAAAACACGCTGGTGGGATAGGACACACATGGAGAAAGCCAGAGAAAAATTTATATATAGAATATCTTTGAAACTGAAACCCACAGGGGCATAGGAATAAAGGATGCCCCCCCCCCCCCCCAAAAAAAACAGGGAGAAGGGAGCCCGAAGAAGCTCAAAAGATGGGGAGAGCATGGGAAGAGCAGCATTCGATAGCCAAAGATAGAACGACTTGGCGTGAGTTGGTTGGGAGTCGATGCTCAACTGAAGGGGGTCGGGGGGGGGGGGGCGGAGCTAGAAAGGCAGAAGAAAATGACTCCATACCACACACACATATATATATATAACAGTATCTATGACACCATGTCTCTGTCCATATCTATAATTATATCTATGTCCAAATCTTTGACCATATCTATGTCCAAATCTTTGACCATATCTATGTCCAAATCTATGACCATATCTATGTCCAAATCTATGACCATATCTATGACCATACCTATGATTATACCTATGACCATATCTATGAACATACCTATGACCATATCTATGACCATATCTATGACCATATCTATGAACATACCTATGACCATATATATGACCATATATATGACCATATATATGACCATACCTATGACCATATCTATGACCATATCTATGAACATATCTATGACCATACCTATGACCATATCTATGAACATATCTATGAACATATCTATGACCATATATATGACCATATCTATGACCATATCTATGACCATATCTATGACCATATCTATGACCATATCTATGAACATATATATGACCATATCTATAAACATATCTATGAACATATCTATGAACATATCTATGACCATATCTATGACCATATCTATGACGATTTCAATGACCATATCTATGGCCATACCTATGAGCATATCTATGACTATACCTATGACAATACCTATGACCACACCTATAACCATACTTATGACTATATCTATGACTATATCTATGATCATACTTATGACCATACCTATCACCATACCTATGACCACACCTATGACCATACTTATGACTATATCTATGACCATATCAATGACCATATCTATGAACATACCTATGACTAAATCTATTACCATACCTATGACCATAGCTATGATAATATCTATGTCCAAATGTATGACCACATCTACGACCATATCTATGACCGTATCTAAGAAAAAATCTATGACTATGTCTGTGTCTATAACCATATCTATGACCGTATCTAAGAAAAAATCTATGACTATGTCTGTGTCTATAACCATATCTATGACCGTATCTAAGAAAAAATCTATGACTATGTCTGTGTCTATAACCATATCTATGACCGTATCTAAGAAAAAATCTATGACTATGTCTGTGTCTATAATCATATCTATGACCAAACCTATGACCACGTGCGCTACCGGGGCATCTAAATTTGGAGTTGAACATCTAGCAAACTGTTTCAAATTTCTCAGCGGTGCAATGGCATAGGTTTAGTGCGCTGCTGAACATCTTCAGACTGATGCTTGAGTGAGAAAGAACGGAACACTGATGTGTGACACCTGTGTGCTGTGAGGTTGATGTGTCGAATAAACATGAACAAATGACCAAATCTGGGATTACACTCACAGGTGACGTCACGTCCGTAAATAAACTTACCAGTCCGTAGTCGGTTGCCATGGGAAACTGCTGCACTTGCCTGGGCATACTCATGGCGGCCATGTTGGATCCGTGCATGCCACCCATGTGGGAGAACTGGTGCATACCGCCCATGGAGGCCGGGTAGCTGGGGTTCATCTGGGGGTACCTGAGGGCGACAACGTGTGGTGTTAGAACGGGTAGCTGGGGTTCATCTGGGGGTACCTGAGGGCGACAACGTGTGGTGTTAGAGCGGGTATCAAAACCAGGATAAGAAATGTATTGATCAGAGAGCTGTTATTTACAGATGATGAAGCAATATCCAACTCAAAGAAGAACTACAATGTTGTTTACTCTCTATATTTGTTGATGTATTCTTTGCGTTTAGACCAACAATTAGCAAAACTGAGACAGGTTATGGTGCAAGTTGTCAATTGATAGGCCCGCAGTCTGCAATGATGGTGAAGAGCTGGAAACAGTTGACTATTTTACTTATCTGGATTCCAAAGTGAATAACAAACTATCGCTGGATCAAATAAACATCAGGATAGGCAAAGCAGCAACAAAAATGAGCAGATTAACAAAAAGAGTTTGGGAGAATGGAAAGCTCACTATTTTGATTTCTTTTTAACATACAGAAACCATGAGTTGTTAACCGTGTGGCTCAGTACTATGGATATCGCAACCCTTCGGCCTTGATCTCATGATAGATGCCGTCAATCTTAGAGAAATGTGGCTTTTCTGCCTACGCGCCGGCATGAACCCAGACCAGAAGGAGTTCGTCACCCGGTCGCCGTGCAGTCAGGTTTAACCAACTGAGCTAGCCAGCCGGGCAAAGCTCACTAATAAAACAAAAATGTTTGTATATCAGGCTTATGTTCTCGGCACTCTGCTTTATGGCAGTGAAACTTTATCCAAACTTTATGGTGAACTAAAGACGGGTAGAAGTTGTCGAGGCCGACCTCTACTGTCATATAAAGACGTGTGCAAGCAGGACATGAATGATACAGGTATTGAGGTGAACTTGTGGGATCAAAATACTGTGGACCGTGTTGTGTGGAGGGAGCACACCAGGAAGGGAATGAGATTGAAGCAAGAAATGATTGCAGAAAAGATGAGAGGTGAGTGTCTGAGAAGAAACAGACTAAACACAAATGTTGACAACAATGGTCCTGAGATCCCATGCTTTCATTGTGGAAGACTTTTCTTGACACGGGCGGGTCTTGTTAGTCGCACTCGCCATCGCCATGGGCTGTGAGTCCATGCCTTCTCACAGGGCAACATAACACTTTCGTCTGCAATTACGGAAAGGTGCCAATCAATCAAATAAAATGTGGGATCTGTGTCTATGAAAAACGTCCACAAATGTAGAATATGTATTAAAATAGACTGTCCGTAAATTTAGAATGTGTGTAAATTTAGAACTTCATAAATTTAGAATGTGCGTAAATGCAGAATGTGCGTTCATATAGAATGTTCGTAAATGTAGATTATGCGTAAATGCAGAATATGTATAACTGTAGAATGTATGTAAATGTAGAATGTGTGTAAATGTGTGTAAGACGAGGTGACAGTAGATGAACGTAAACCTAGACAGCCGACCTTGACCTCTCACCTGGCAGCCATGTTGTTCATGTTCATGTTGGCGGTGGGCGTATAGGGGTAGCCGCGGGGGTTTGTGGGATAGATGTTGCGCATCATGGCGTTGCAGCTGGGGATGACTGGACTCAGCGACTTGGCCAACTGTTTCTCTTGTTTCCGGTACTTGGCACGTCTGTTCTGGAACCAAACCTGGGGATAAATGGCCTCACTGGTCAGTTGTAGAGTACATGACAGTCTTAGTTTTACACTCAATACCTAGTAGACAGTGTCTCAGTCGGGCACAGTTTCACACACAATACGTAGTAGAGAGTGTCTCAGTCGGGCACAGTTTCACACACAATACCTAGTAGATAGTGTCTCAGTCGGGCACAGTTTCACACACAATACCTACTAGACAGTGTCTCAGTCGGGCACAGTTTCACACACAATACCTACTAGACAGTGTCTCAGTCGGGCACAGTTTCACACACAATACCTACTAGACAGTGTCTCAGTCGGGCACAGTTTCACACACAATACCTAGTAGACAGTGTCTCAGTCGGGCACAGTTTCACACACAATACCTAGTAGACAGTGTCTCAGTCGGGCACAGTTTCACACACAATACATAGTAGACAGTGTCTCAGTCGGGCACAGTTTCACACACAATACATAGTAGAGAGTGTCTCAGTCGGGCACAGTTTCACACACAATACATAGTAGACAGTGTCTCAGTCGGGCACAGTTTCACACACAATACATAGTAGAGAGTGTCTCAGTCGGGCACAGTTTCACACACAATACCTAGTAGAGAGTGTCTCAGTCGGGCACAGTTTCACACACAATACCTAGTAGTCAGTGTCTCAGTCGGGCACAGTTTCACACACAATACACAGTAGAGAGTGTCTCAGTCGGGCACAGTTTCACACACAATACATAGTAGAGAGTGTCTCAGTCGGGCACAGTTTCACACACAATACATAGTAGAGAGTGTCTCAGTCGGGCACAGTTTCACACACAATACCTAGTAGAGAGTGTCTCAGTCGGGCACAGTTTCACACACAATACCTAGTAGACAGTGTCTCAGTCGGGCACAGTTTCACACACAATACATAGTAGAGAGTGTCTCAGTCGGGCACAGTTTCACACACAATACCTAGTAGACAGTGTCTCAGTCGGGCACAGTTTCACACACAATACATAGTAGAGAGTGTCTCAGTCGGGCACAGTTTCACACACAATACCTAGTAGACAGTGTCTCAGTGGGACACAGTTTCACACACAATACGTAGTAGAGGGTGTCTCAGTCGGGCACAGTTTCACACACAATACCTAGTAGACAGTGTATCAGTCGGGCACAGTTTCACACACAATACATAGTAGAGAGTGTCTCAGTCGGGCACAGTTTCACACACAATACGTAGTAGACAGTGTCTCAGTCGGGCACAGTTTCACACACAATACATAGAAGAGAGTGTCTCAGTCGGGCACAGTTTCACACACAATACATAGTAGAGAGTGTCTCAGTCGGGCACAGTTTCACACACAATACGTAGTAGACAGTGTCTCAGTCGGGCACAGTTTCACACACAATACGTAGTAGAGAGTGTCTCAGTCGGGCACAGTTTCACACACAATACGTAGTAGAGAGTGTCTCAGTCGGGCACAGTTTCACACACAATACATAGTAGAGAGTGTCTCAGTCGGGCACAATTTCACACACAATACGTAGTAGACAGTGTCTCAGTGGGGCATAGTTTCACACACAATACGTAGTAGAGAGTGTCTCAGTCGGGCACAGTTTCACACACAATACATAGTAGACAGTGTCTCAGTCGGGCACAGTTTCACACACAATACGTAGTAGAGAGTGTCTCAGTCGGGCACAGTTTCACACACAATACGTAGTAGACAGTGTCTCAGTCGGGCAGTTTCACACACAATACGTAGTAGAGAGTGTCTCAGTGGGACACAGTTTCACACACAATACCTAGTAGACAGTGTCTCAGTCGGGCACAGTTTCACACACAATACATAGTAGACAGTGTCTCAGTCGGGCACAGTTTCACACACAATACCTAGTAGTCAGTGTCTCAGTCGGGCACAGTTTCACACACAATACCTAGTAGTCAGTGTCTCAGTCGGGCACAGTTTCACACACAATACATAGTAGACAGTGTCTCAGTCGGGCACAGTTTCACACACAATACCTAGTAGACAGTGTTTCAGTGGGGCATAGTTTCACACACAATACGTAGTAGACAGTGTCTCAGTCGGGCAGTTTCACACACAATAAGTAGTGGACAGTGTCTCAGTGGGGCACAGTTTCACACACAATACCTAGTAGAGAGTGTCTCAGTCGGGCACAGTTTCACACACAATACCTAGTAGACAGTGTCTCAGCGGGGCACAGTTTTACACACAATACCTAGTAGACAGTGTCTCAGTGGGGCACCGTTTCACACACAATACGTAGTAGACAGTGTCTCAGTCGGGCACAGTTTCACACACAATACCTAGTAGACAGTGTCTCAGTCGGGCACAATTTTACACACAATACATAGTAGACAGTGTCTCAGTGGGGCACAGTTTCACACACAATACCTAGTAGACAGTGTCTCAGTCGGGCAGTTTCACACACAATACCTAGTAGACAGTGTCTCAGTCGGGCACAGTTTCACACACAATAAGTAGTAGACAGTGTCTCAGTCGGGCACAGTTTCACACACAATACATAGTAGACAGTGTCTCAGTGGGGCACAGTTTCACACACAATACGTAGTAGACAGTGTCTCAGTGGGGCAGTTTCACACACAATACCTAGTAGAGAGTGTCTCAGTCGGGCACAGTTTCACACACAATACGTAGTAGAGAGTGTCTCAATGGGGCACAGTTTCACACACAATACCTAGTAGACAGTGTCTCAGTCGGGCACAGTTTCACACACAATACATAGTAGACAGTGTCTCAGTCGGGCACAGTTTCACACACAATACATAGTAGACAGTGTCTCAGTCGGGCACAGTTTCACACACAATACCTAGTAGACAGTGTCTCAGTCGGGCACAGTTTCACACACAATACCTAGTAGATAGTGTCTCAGTCGGGCACAGTTTCACACACAATACATAGTAGAGAGTGTTTCAGTCGGGCACAGTTTCACACACAATACCTAGTAGACAGTGTCTCAGTCGGGCACAGTTTCACACACAATACCTAGTAGAGAGTGTCTCAGTCGGGCACAGTTTCACACACAATAAGTAGTAGACAGTGTCTCAGTTAGGCACAATTTCGCACACAGTACGTAGAAGACGGTATCTCAGTCGGGCCCAATTTCGCACAAAAGTAAAAGACAATAAGAAATTACAGGTCCCCCCCCCCCCCCCCTTTTTTTTTTTAAACAGACCACCTTCGTGTATCGGGTTCTGTGTCTTTACCTCTTAGATGGTCCCAGGCAGCGGTGTACCAGATACTATGAGATGGTCCCAGGCAGCGGTGTACCAGATACTGTGGGATGATCCCAGGCAGCGGTGTACCAGATACTGTGGGATGGTCCCAGGCAGCGGTGTACCAGATACTGTGGGATAGATGCACTTAGTCTTGTCCACCCCCGGCCCACTGTCAAATAATCTGAGTGGCAAAAGGTGGTTGAGCAAACGGGAACCGCCTGCAGTACTACAAATGTCGCGTGTCTAAGGAGAACAATCATACAGCGTTCAGTAAAAGCCACTAAAACACACACAGCTTCAATGACTACTTAATAGTTTCCATAGCATTAGCCTGCTTGCATGTGTACGCGTGTGAATGTGTCTACCCACCTCACACTGAACAAACAGCTGAAGCGATGGGAATAGCTTTGTCGGGGACATGCACACGGTGAAGCGATGGGAACAGCTTTGTCGGGGACATGCACACGGTGAAGCGATGGGAATAGCTTTGTCGGGGACATGCACACGGTGAAGCGATGGGAATAGCTTTGTCGGGGACATGCACACGGTGAAGCGATGGGAATAGCTTTGTCGGGGACATGCACACGGTGAAGCGATGGGAATAGCTTTGTCGGGGACATGCACACGGTGAAGCGATGGGAACAGCTTTGTCGGGGACATGCACACGGTGAAGCGATGGGAACAGCTTTGTCGGGGACATGCACACGGTGAAGCGATGGGAACAGGTTTGTCGGGGACATGCACACGGTGAAGCGATGGGGACAGCTGTGCCAGGGAACCCTTACAGGACGAAGCGATGGGGACAGCTGTGCCAGGGAACCCTTACAGGACGAAGCGATGGGGACAGCTGTGCCAGGGAACCCTTACAGGACGAAGCGATGGGGACAGTTGTGCCAGGGAACCCTTACAGGACGAAGCGATGGGGACAGCTGTGCCAGGGAACCCGCACCCAATGAAGTGAGAGGAACAGCTGGGTCAGGGAACATGCATACGGTGAGTCGATTGGAGCAGCTGTGTCAGGGAACACGCTCACACACACACACACACACACACACACACAAACAGGACAACGGCTGTGAGGAAAAGTATCAGAGCAGGAGACAACACACAACTGAGACACGGAGAGATCACACAGGGCTCGACCGAGACACGGAGAGATCACACAGGGCTCGACCGAGACACGGAGAGATCACACAGGGCTCGACCGAGACACTGAGAGGTCACACAGGGCACGGCCGAGACACGGAGAGGTCACACAGGGCTCGACCGAGGCACGGAGAGATGACATAGGGCTCGACCTAGACACGGAGAGCTCACACAGGTCTCGACCTAGACACGGAGAGATCACACAGGGCTCGACCTAGACACGGAGAGATCACACAGGGCTCGACCTAGACACGGAGAGATGACACAGGGCTCGACCTAGACACGGAGAGATCATACAGGGCTCGACCTAGACACGGAGAGATCACACAGGGCTCGACCTAGACACGGAGAGGTCACACAGGGCTCGACCGAGACACAGAGAAATGACACAGGGCTCGACCTAGACACGGAGAGATCACACAGGTCTCGACCCAGGTAAACATAAGTATGAGAAACAAAATTAGAAGGGTAAAAAATTTATTGAGCGTGTATAATTTATGTACAGCCTAATATTAAACTATATTAGTTAAATCACGATTATATGAAATAATGAAGTATGAACACCAACAGGAATTAGAGAACATCAACAGGAAGGAGAGAACACAAACAGGAAGGAGAGAACACAAACAGGAAGTAAAGAACACCAACAGGAAGTAGAGAGCACAAACAGGAAGGAAGAGAACATCAACAGGAAGGAGAGAACACCAACAGGAAGGAGAGAACACCAACAGGAAGGAGAGAACACCAACAGGAAGGAGAGAACACCAACAGGAAGGAGAGAACACCAACAGGAAGGAGAGAACAAATAGAAAAGGAAGGGGATAAAGCCGAAAGAGAAAGGAAGGAGAAAACACAGAAAGAGAAAGGAAGGAAAGAACACCGAAAGAGAAAGGAAGGAAAGAACACCAACAGGAAACAACAATCTGGTGGCACCAAGTGCCGCGTGAGGTCGATGTCAACACGCACGCGCAATGAAAACAAACCCGCGGTCGGAAAATGACCAGGGACATGCGCCTGTGGTGGGGTGGTGGTGGTGATGGTGAGGGTGGGGTGGTGGTGGTGGGAGGATGAGATAGAGTGAAGCCAGTCGCGTGGCAAGGGCCAATAGAGTGTGAGTGCAGAACATGAATATCAATTGAACATCAGTGCCGGCTGGAGGCTAGGGCCCTCCTGGGACTGACTGAAGAAGTGCCCTCAGAGCGGGACAGCAGGGGAAGCAGGGTGCGCCTGGTGGCTGTTTAACTGATCTAGCATGCAGGAGACGAGGCCCAGCCCGCCATCCTGGTGAGAGAGGCTGTGACTTTGTGTCACCCGCCAGCAACTGCTGAAACGTCTTGGCTAATTCAGTTAGGTTCGGTAATTGGTGTTTCCTAGTCATTTGGCTGTCCATTCACAGTTTCAATTAGGGCCTTTGTAAATAGCTCCATTACTGCTCCTTGTCATCAGAGAGTCGGCACCTGTCAGCAAACTAGACCCATGATGTCCGCACGCGGCCGTTCTAGGTTTTTATACATAAACCGTTCCTCTATAACTTCAGCTCTATATTTGTATACATAAACCGTTGCTCTATAACTACGGCTCTTTGTTTGTATACATAAACCGTTGCTCTATAATTTCAGCTCTATATTTATATACATAAACCGTTGCTCTATAACTTCAGCTCTTTGTTTGTATACATAAACCGTTGCATTATAACTTCAGCTCTATATTTATATACATAAACCGTTGCTCTATAACTCTAGCTTTTTTTTTTTTTTTTTTTGTATACATAAACCGTTGCTCTCTAACCCCAGATCTGTTTTGTATACACAAACCGTTGCTCTATAACTTCAGCTCTATATTTATACACATAAACCGTTGCTCTATAACTTCAGCTCTATGTTTGTATACATAACCGTTGCTTTTTTATAACTCCAGCTCAAAGTTTTGGACACTGGCTATATTAGAGATTGGTGGGTGTCTAGATTAGAGATTGGTGGGTGTCTAGATTCGAGATTGGTGGGTGTCTAGATCAGAGATTGGTGGGTGTCTAGATTAGAGATTGGTGGGTGTCTAGATTAGAGATTGGTGGGTGGCTAGATTAGAGATTGGTGGGTGTCTAGATTAGAGATTGGTGGGTGGCTAGATTAGAGATTGGTGGTTACTAGATTAGAGATTGGTGGGTGGCTAGATTAGAGATTGGTGGGTGTCTAGATTAGAGATTGGTGGGTGTCTAGATTAGAGATTGGTTGGTGTCTAGATTAGAGATTGGTGGGTGTCTAGATTAGAGATTGGTGGGTGTCTAGATTAGAGATTGGTGGGTGTCTAGATTAGAGATTGGTGGGTGTCTAGATTAGAGATTGGTGGGTGTCTAGATTAGAGTTGGTGGGTGTCTATTAGAGATTGGGGGTCTAGATTAGAGATTAGTGGGTGTCTAGATTAGAGATTGGTGGGTGTCTAGATTAGTGGGTGTCTAGATTAGAGATTGGTGGGTGTCTAGATTAGAGATTGGTGGGTGTCTAGATTAGAGATTAGTGGGTGTCTAGATTAGAGATTGGTGGGTGTCTAGATTAGAGATTGGTGGGTGTCTAGATTAGAGATTAGTGGGTGTCTAGATTAGAGATTGGTGGGTGTCTAGATTAGAGATTGGTGGGTGTCTAGATTAGAGATTAGTGGGTGGCTAGAGTTCGCTCAGTCCTCATGTAATATTTGGTATAGCGCTGAGACATTGGTACAATGGTAAAACACGTACGTGTACACAACAAGGGTACAATGGTAAGACATGTACGTGTACACAACACTGTACAGTGATAAGACATCCATCCATCTATCCATCCAGCAACGCCATCCATCTATCCGTCTATCCATCAGTGTATCTATCCATCAGTGCATCCAATTATCTATCCATCCAGCTATCATTCATTTATCCACCCAGATACCATCCATCTATCTATCAACATAGCTACCATCAATCTAACCCTCAATGCATCTATCCATCAGTTCATCTCATCATTCAGTTCAGCTACCATTCATCTATCTATCCATATACCATCTATCTATCAATCCAGCTACCATCCATCTATCAATCAGTCAATCTATCTATCTATCCATCAGTTCTTCCATCTATCTTTTCATCCATACTTATATCCATTCATTTACTAGCTGACTATCTATCCATTCGGCTACCATTCATCTTTCTTTCCATCCAGTTACCATCAATCTATTTATCAGTTAATCTATCCATCTATCCAACTAACAGCCAACTATCTATCTATTCAGCTATTATCCATCTATCTATCAACATAACTACCATTTATCCAACCCTCAATGCATCTATCTATCTATCCATCAATTCATCAATCCATCCAGCTACCATCCATCAATCAATCCAGCTACTATCCCTCTATCCATCAGTTCTTCCATCTATCTAATAATCCAGCTACATCCATCTATCCATCAGTGTGTCTATCCATGTATCATTCAGTTCATCCATCCATCTATCCATCTCCATCTATCCATCTCCATCTATCCATCTCCATCTATCCATCTCCATCTATCCATCCATCTACTATTCCTCTATCCATCGGTGTGTCTATCCGTGTTTCATTCAGTTCATCCATCCATCTATCTATCCGGCTACCATCCATCTATCCATCCAGCTACCATCCATCTATCCATCAGTTCATCCATTTTTATATCTATCCCGCTAGCACCCATCCATCCATCCAGCTACCATCCATCTATTTATCAGTTCATCCATCTTTATATCTATCCCGCTATCATCCATCTATCCAGCTACCATCCATCTATCCATCAGTCCATCCATCTGTCTATCCATCAGTTCTTGTATCTATCTATCCATCCGTTTACCTTTCATCTATCAAGCCAGTTACCACCTCTCTATTTATCTATTTAGGGTTTCATCAGTAAGTTTTTCTGTCATTGCATCCAAAATATATTCATCCAGCTACCTTCCATCTATCTATCCACCCCGCTACCATCAATCTATCCATCTATCCATCTTTTCATCAGTCCATTTATCTATCAATGCCATCATCTATCCGTCCAGCTACCTTCCATATATCCATCCGTCCATCTATATATCAGTTCATCTACCCATCAGTCGATCCAGTCAGCTATCTATCCAACTAACACCCATCTATCCATCCATCCATCTGAACATTAGTTTATCCATCTATCCACCGAAGAGGAAGAGGAAATGCAACCTGAAAACTTTATGTTATGGCAGGGCAGAACAGGCCCTTCGCCTTGGCTGACAGCTGGTCTAGGAGGGAAACTCCGACAGGCGGACAGATAGAGCACTGTTTTTCTGATCTGGCAGCTTCTGAAGCCTACCTTGTTCCAAACGTACTGGTTTTACCTTTCCTTTGGAGTAAACAAGGCAGGTCGAGGGAGGGATCATTATGCATGGGCAACATATGGTCTCTACAATACTGCCCAGGTTTTGGGCTATGGAGAGGAGGAACTTCATCCCTGACCTTAATTGGTCTCGCAAACAAATCGAGAGGCAGCAGTTACGGGTTATAAGTCCTTGTCGGTTGGCGTAGACGAGGGCGCCACGGGTTGCCTCTGACGGTGGGAGACATCTTCGAATATCACTGATCAACTACCGCCCGCCTCAAGCTGGGCAGCCC